TCCCCAGCCAGCCATGCTGGCTGGGGAATTCTGGGAGTTGAAATCCACTCATCTTAAAGTGGCCAAGTTTGGACAACACTGCTTTAAACAAAAATGAAATCCAGAAGCCCAGCTCAAGTCAACCTAATTAGCTCCAAATCATTGCAGCAGTGGAAAAGAATGGAGCAAGTACTAACATCTCCTCCTTCGAGGTCTTCCTTTCAAGCATGACAAAACAAAGCTCATTTAAGAAAACACATATGCAATACAGCAGTTCAAATCCAATGGCCCACTGATCCCCATTCCAGGTTTACTGTGAGGTTCATACCCACCATCTGCATCCCAATCTGCAGAACAGTTTCCTTGTTAAACTTTCTCCCTTCTCTTTCAAAGATGGCTTGGAGATCTTCTCCTAATCTTTCCATCACCATAAATCTGTAACTAATACAGTACGACCACAAAGAAAAACAGTAAAAACATACTGCCTTACATTAAAAGTCAACAACAAAACCTAATATATATAAATGCAGTAAACTAGTTTGTTTTACTAGATTAAATAGTAATCCACCTAATGTGGCAGTGGTTCTCCAAGACCACAAGCCCAGCTCTGCTATCCAGGATCCTTTTCCTTGAATAAAAGAGCAGACTGAGTCCAAGTTCTTATGCAAAGCATATGCTTTCGCTTTGTCCTAGAGTGCTTCCCCATTCCTTTCAGGGAAGGGCAAATCAAATTCCCTACCCCAGAAAACCAATTCTTATTCAGCTCTACTGTATTGAAATGTCTTCCTTACCTTTTACCAATATGTTTGACCTGGCCAGATCCCAAGAAAACAGGAATGCCTAAAAATGTGAGTTCTTTCAGCTTCATCCATTTCTTGACTAACAAAAAGATAAACAGTAGAGGAGACAAGGTTCTTTAAAATCTCCAGCTTCTTTTTAAAACAAAACATAATTATGATTTTTTAAAACATCAGAATACAATGTTATGAAAATAAATATACACATTAGGTACATTTGCTAAAGGTAAAACTGAAATAAAAGTTAAATCTTCACAAGCTATTATTCACAAGCTATTATTCCTGAGAAAGTATAAAGGATAGCTTGACATAAGACAGTTCTGTTGCCTGACTTACTGTGCTCTTGTTTTGCAGCTCGTTGGTAGAATTTCAGTTCAGAAAATAAGGGCCCGTTTTCAAGATATTCCTATACATGTACACATATATAAAAAAAGCCAAAACAGTTTCATGTGAATCATGTGATACATGGATCATGTGAACTGCCTTAGGATATACTGTCCATATTGGTCATTTAATGAAGTCCGTTTATCTGCTCAAAAGGTCCTTTGGCCCTTCCTAGCGATATTACAGTGAAGAGAAGCAGAGATTACCTTGGAAGAGATAGGTGGAAACCATGAGGAAAACATTTTATTTATTCATTCAATTTATTCCTTCAATTCAGTTTACATGGCCACCCATTGTTAGCTGCCCAAAGTCACTTTGGGCAGCTAACAGTAATAAAAAATCAGAAAAAAACAACAAAAAATATAAAATGAAAAGACAACTGGCAGCTGAGATTTAAAACAAAAACCATAAATACAAATATAAATATTTCAATAAAACTCATTCACAGGCTCTACTAGACACTCCAATCTCCAAGCCTGATCATTTTCCTCAATGAATAAATGAACAAGTATAATGTTTTTGACTCATTTGTTTAATTGCATTCTCTTTATCTAGCTTTAGGACTTGTGTGGAAAACAGATCACGTTTTAGGTCATATTTATGCAGAA